CTAATCTAAGAGACTTTGTTAGGAGTGATGATATCATCAAAAAGGGAGGAGTTGACAAAGATATTATGGACACCCAGTGCACTCAGTTAGAGCACCACTTTAACTTATATCAACCTTCAACACACTTCATTCTAACTTAAGTAATTTTCTCTCTTTGTATTCTTGGTTTGGGAACTTCTGATTTTGTTTAGGCTACATCTTGCCGATAATAATTATTTTGTACCAAGGGCACTTTAGTTTGATGTTGATTTCACAATATATCTAATACATATTTTAATGAATATTTAACACTTAGAAACACCTAGAATACATTATTAATGATTATGGAAATAAATATCAGTTGTTTATCCTAATAAAGTAGAAACTGCTATACAGATTACCTTGTGTCCATGTCAGTTTCTCTAGCATTATGCTATATGGGTGCTCCTTAACCTTTTTCTTCTAGGATAAGTGTGGTATCAAATTTAATTCTGTCTATGACACAGTCAAATTTAGACAACCCCCTCCTTACTGTATGTTCATTATATGTTCCTATTCACACAACATACTGAAAAATATCTTTTTAAAAATGTCTTACCTTTTAGATGTTTTGTTAAAGCAGGCAAAATGGCTAATACCAGGTTTTTCTTAACCATTTCAGTGGTCTGTCCCAATGAAAAGTCTTAGGACTGAAATGTGAGGATTGTGTTTATCTGATAAGCTTCATTAACATACAATGGACTAGCCACATCAGTCCCTGCCCTCAAGGAGCTTCCAATCTAAGGCCCCTTTCTCACATGCATATATACAGGGCTGATTTAGACACTAGACAATTTCTTTACTAGCATGTCTTTGGCGTGTGGGAGGAAACCCACGCAAGCACAGGAAGAAAATGCAAACTCCTTGCAGATAGTGTCCTGACCAGGATTTGAACCAGGGACCCTCAATGCTACTAGGCAGAAGTGATAACCACTATGCCACCGTGCTGCCCATTATAGTTATTTAGGAATGACAAGGTCCTCAGTGATGGGAATCCCTTTCAAAATTGAAGTTGTAGACACCAGCTAATTTGGATACCTATTATATGACTCCCCTGATAACCCATAATTATCTGTTTAACTATTTATGTATTTATCTGTGTAATCTTTAGCCATCTGCCAAAATTAGAGGTTTAAACTACCCCTTAATTTACATTGGAGTAAGATATGTTTCATAGGGTCTACAAGACTTTGCCTCAACCTATTGGAAATCAATCAATGCTGAGTGATTTGTGTGATTTCTGCAGGTGATGGTCAGTGTAGATTGGAAGGCATTTAAATGTGTTTGTCAGTTGGTTGTCATTTTGAGGAACTGAATGCAAAACAGGCATCCCTTACAACCAAGGAAGGTGCCATCTTAAGGTGCCCATACACTGCTCGATTCTCGGACGAGAATCGCGGGAAATCCCGCGATCGTACGATAATCGTGCAGTGTATGGAAGGCGTGCGACTGTTTTTACTGTACGTTCGCACGTCTTCCGTCGAACAAGCAGGCTGGAAAACCCGCCGGGAATCGACAGTTTGCAGTCATCGGAAGCTCGCCCCTCATTGCAGTCAGGGGGGCGGGCTTGCGATGATCGCAAGTACGATCTGCTTGTCCAAGATGGGCAGATCGTACGTTTTTTTAAGTACTTTACAACCCTCGCAGGACAAGAGTCTTGTGAGGGTTGTAAAGTGTATGGGCACCTTTAGCCTGTATTCGGATTGCAGTTGCCTTGGTGCTGCACATGTGATCAGCTATGACACCAGCCATTTGAGGGCTTGAAAGTTCGGTTAAGAGCTGAAATAGGCACACTAGCAACCTTGACCGTTGGCATGCCTTTAAAGTAAAAGTTTCAGGAAACAGTAAATTGGGGGGTAAAGTTATTTTTTAACACAGCAGTTTTTTTTTTATTTCCCCCTGTAACATTGTTGTATTACCTGCTGATCCTGTGAGTAAGTCCATTAATGTTTTAACTTCCAATAGCAGGGCAAGTTGTCCAGCAAAAGTGGCAGTTAGAGCAGTGGTGGCAAACTGCGGCCCTCCAGCTGTTGTGGAACTACAAGTCCCTTGAGGCTTTGCAAGATTCTCACAGCCGGCACGATTTGCAGAGGCAGATGCATCATGGGATTTGTAGTTTCACCACAGCTGGAGGGCCAGAGTTTGCCACCCCTGAGTTAGAGGATTGTGACAAACCATTTAACACTGACTGTGGTAATTACAATGCTCTGCTTTTATTCATATAGTTAAAACCTTTATCCGATACAGACAAAAATGCTTCAATGCTTGAAAAGTGTTAGCTGTTAATTAGTTAGTTGGGCTTTATTTGTTAAGCAGTTGCTCCTGTAAAGATATAGTGGAGGAGTGAGCGTAGCCACCCTGAGATAGGAGATGTGTTATACCCTTTGTCGAGTTCTCATTGCTATATGGACCCCACAAGGAATATTACCCCTCTGTTTGTCTTGGTGACTATTGTCACTGAGACAGAAACTGAGGGGAAATCCAAACATTTAAAATTGCCATCAGAGCAAGGAGTAAAGGAAACTCCTCCAATGGGGACACACTGTATGTTTCTATGATGACTCTCTAAGAAGGGTATTTCTTTGACTTTGTAGAGATTTTCCCTCATTTCCTTTTGTATCTCAGAAGAGACAGAAAAAAAAGAACTTGACAGAGGTTTCAGCCCTTCCCTACTAAAAAAAAGTACATTTGTAAGTGAACTGTGCCCAAATGATGCACACTATAGCATTTATTTAATCTGATCCACCACTCAACTCAGTATCTATAATCATTGTGTAGAAATCAATTTTCAAGGTTCACAACACTGGCATTGAAATTAGCTTTTTGTTTAATAAGAGGAGATCTTGGCAGCCTGCCAGTCCTCTAATGTAAACAAACAGCAGATGTTTCCAAGTTGTTAGAAACAAACTTAAACCAGACTTCAGAGTGTTTGTTGTGATCTTTAAATATTTTTGTGAATGTAGAATGCTTATTGTTCTCCTTGCTGTTAAGGAACTGCAAGCTGCAAGGAGATTATAGGCAACACAGGTGACTTGTCATTTGCCATTGGCTTGCATTTATGGGGACAATTACAACTAGGGATGCACAGATACTTTTCGAGTACCAGTGCAGATACTTGGCATTTTCACGAGAACTACCAGGGTTGCAGAGGTTGCAGCTGGGACCTGGCTCTGGCGCTCCACCACTGTCCTGAAATCATTAGTCTGTATTGTTTTACAAAAACTGTCACATGACAATAAACCAAAATGTATCATTACTCGTACTTGTAAGTACTCGGCAAGTACCAGTACTCGTATTCGCAAAACTGGTATCAGTGCATCCCTTTATTTATATTTATAAAAACAAAATCGTACATTAAAACAGAGATGTACAAATCCCAGGAGCTCTGTGTGCTCCTTACAAATGACAGCTGCCTCCTAATTTTTGAATTTTTCTCTAGTCTAGTCTTGGAGCTCAAAAGTATCGGTACATGTATTCGTACTTGTAACGAGTACTGTACTTGGTATCTGTGCAACCCTAATTACAACATTCAGGTAATCTTGAAATGCAGTATTTTATTATTTTTATTACCCACTCATTTTTTCTAAAACCATATATCTAGGTAATGTTTTAGCTACTTTTTCTTTTTGACTTTTCTGTGTGCTTATCTTGCAATTCACAAGTTGGCAATGCTTATTCTGTTCACAGACATGACACTAGTGAAGTAGGAACAACAGCTGTTGCAGGCACTTGCAGCCTGTAAGTCCTTTTTAGTCAGATTACAGAAACTGTAGTCACAATAACTGGTAACTCAGGCTGTAATAGAACCAGTAAGCAATGTGAAATTATGGTATTATGATTATTATTATTTCATAGGATTTATACACTGAGTGGCCAGATTATTATGACCACCCCATCAGTACTTCGTTGGGCCACGAGATGACTCCACGAAATGACTTTGTTGGGCTGCCTTGTGACTCCACGAGATGTTGAAAGGTGATGCGAGGAATCTGACACTGCACTGTTGCCCTTCTTTTGTCTTGTACCAGTCTTGCCACTCTCCGTTCTGCCCTTACATTGACTAGTCGCTAACGGCCACAATTCGCACGTTCAGACCCAGATTTTCGGCTGACAGTCCAGTCTATAAACACTTTAACAACAGCTGCCTTTGAACATTTAATGCATTCTGCTGTTTTGCTGATACTCGCTCCATGGCTCCGAGCGCCAACAATCATCCCATGTTCAAAGGCTGTTAAATCGCGTTGTTTACCCATATCTTCAGAAAAAAAATCACTTCTACTGTCGTGGTAAACAACCTGCTTCCCTATTTATAATGGTCTGGCTCTCTAGCAACTTCAGAGCGAAATTATAGCTAATTATAGCTAATTTGCCTACAAACGTCAGGTGGTCATAATAATCTGGCCACTCAGTGTATAGCTCCAACAGTTTGCGCAGCGCTTTACAGTATATATTGCATTAAGTGTAATAAAAACATTGTGCAACACTATTATTGAACTTATTTGAGCCTGACTGCAGTGTCACCAGAGGGCCCCTGAAAGATTTTCAATGCCTCCAGTTCACCTTTTCAAGCATGTTCTTAACTAGAGTACACCTATTATATATCAGGACTGTGATAGCACACAGTGAAGGGCATTTCTACTAGCTTATAACAGATACTACATGGTAAAGCTATCATGCCTTTTTATAGTGATGGCAAATAAAAGAGTTCTGGAAAAAAGGGGAAATGAAAATGAGCAATATTGAGAAAATACAGTCTTAACAAGTGGTGAACTCACACTTTACTGGCCCTTTAAGCAAGCCTTTTTTTAAATTAAGGCTTTTAAGCTTCTTTTTCTCTTCAGCTGCCGCCTGCACATTTTCCCTGCATATAAGAAAAGATCAATATATAAACATGTGTGGTTTGGAAGAGCACAGATTAGAGATTTATTTTTAACTTGCATCTGTACAAAAGATTTTTATACACTGAATGTACCCAGCCCTGTTGTTCCCTTTCTCAAGAACACAAGGAAAATGGCTGATGTTCCCTGCTTTCATAGCATACATATTCATATTTGTAAAAGTAGCAACAATCTGCTGGAGAAGTCAGTACATGTCCAATGTAACTTGTTTTTTTTGCAGTGCAAAAGGTTAATTATTTTAACCGGAAATAAAGACATAGACACACACAAAGAAATACACCAACACCCGCCTAGGTGTGGCCTTGGAAAAGTACTCCAGTCTTGGTATTGACATCATATAGCTGACTCCCTTCTGTAAGAAATGTTGTCTAATGCCATGGAAGCCTGAAGGCGATCGAGTTCTAAATGACTCCCCATAACATGGATAACTCCTTCATCTGGTACACCTCCAACAGCTTCTTCATCCTCATCCTCCTCTTGGCTAAGAAGAGCCAGCTCATTTTCATAGCAGAAGGCGCTTGGGGAAGGTAAAGCAGTTATACGGCTTTCGTGCAATTCTCGTGCGCTACACACAGGGGTTCCTGGCACCTGGTAGGTTTTGTGGAAGTGGGAATAATCCACTTTGTAATGATTCTTCTCCTCAAATACAACAGGCTCAAACCTTTGTCCCCAGCGGATTTCACTTGCTAAGTATGAACTACGAGCTTGAGTTGTCATAGCTGTGGCTTCCACCATGCCTTCTAAAATAACAACAATCTCAAAGTCTTCTTCTTCTAATTGCTCCTTTCCCATTGTATAGAGAGGGCTCTCCTCATCAATCTCATGCACTATAATGATTGGTGAAACCAGAAAGATGCGATCCAGCCCACTGTCATATCCCACATTCAAGTCCCGCTGATCCACAGGGAGATACTCACCCTCTTGGGTAACATAGGGACGGATCAGTTGGGCTCTGACATGGGCTTCTACAATGTGACTTTTGCGTAGATTTCCAACTCTCCACATCAAACAGAGTTTACCATCTCTTTGGGCAATTACAGCATGATGACTAAAAAGTAGTGTTTGGGCTCGTTTCTTGGGCCGAGCCATTTTGGCCATTATTGTACCAATCATGAAAGAGTCGATGAGACAGCCAAGGATGGACTGTGCCACTACAGCAAGAATGGCTAAAGGGCATTCATCAGTTACACAACGGAACCCGTACCCTATTGTAGTCTGTGTCTCTACTGAGAAGAGAAAAGCTTCAACAAAGCTATTAACATGCATCAGGCATGGTTTGGGTGGGCCTGATCTCCCTACTGGAATCACACTGCTACCAACAGCAAAGTCCCCATGAAGCAATGCAATGCACCAGAAGAGAAAGGCAAAGAAAAGCCATGATGCTAAGAAAGCAGCTGAGAAGATGAGCAGCATGTATCGCCAACGTGTGTCCACACATGTCGTAAAAATGTCAGCCATGTAACGTTGGGATTTGTTGCTGAGATTTGCAAAGTAGACATTACACTGACCATTCTTTTTAACAAAACGGTTGCGTCTTTTCCGCCGTGAATGAGGGTAGTGGAGGGAAGATGACCAGTGACCATTAAGACCCAGGGATGGCATACGGAGGCCTTCCTCATCTGTGGATACAATGCTGTATCTACTGGAAAAAACAAAGAGATTATTAGAAGCAGATATAGTTTGGTATTTTGACAGTAATAATGCAAGGCACTGTTATACAGAGTGTAGTACCTCTTGACCGTGTTTCTATCTACTTTACAACCTTCTATATTATATTTACTATATACTAATATAGTTCTAAATGGAGATTGCAACTGCCTGTTTCAGTGCTGGAGGAATTTGCTCCAGTACTGCATTTAGCTAAACAGAGCGTGCATTACAAGTTAGATCCTATCCCATCACACACCTCATTTCCTATTATTCATGTCAACTGTGCGGTGCCTCTTCAGAAAACACAGTTTACAAGGCTGTTTTACATGTGCATTACCCCTCATTGGCCACTTTCCATAGCATGTGTATTAACCCCTCAGTGACCAGTCTCCAGAGTATGAGCATGACACTCTCAGTGATCAGTCCCCAGAATATATCTAATAACTCCTGACTGAGCAGTCATTAGCATTCATCCCTCAGTCACTTGGTTCCAGAGGATGTGTTCAGTGTATGTGCTATAAGAGAGGAATTGGAACAGTTTAAGGGTACTAGGCTGCTTCATTATAGGGACAGCCAGTGGCGGAACTACTGCCGTAGCAGCCCACAGGGCCGTTGTGGGGCCCAGGGCAGAGGGAGGGCCCGGTCAGTAGCAGGAAGAAAGGCTCTTCAGGGGTCTCCAAGTACCGGCCTGCGGGCCAATTTGGACCCGTGAACTGGTACCATCCGGCCCGCAGCTACACGGTCTGCATCTCTGTCAGATGCAGACCGCATAGCTGCTCCTGGCTATGCTGGCTCTCAGTTCCTTTTGGCCAGAGCTCTGACATCTCTGAGCTCCAGCCAAAAAGAAGGATTAATAAGAACTGCGCCAGACTTTACTAATCACCCCTGGATCACCAGAGATTATGCAGGTGATGGGGTTTTATTATTTTATTTGTGGGGTGGAGGGAGAAACAAGGGCAGGATTTTCCACAAGGCTAACCAAGGCCCAGCCTTGGGGCAGCAGGGGTGTGGAATTCCTATCTACCAATGCCCAGGACATTCAGTTCTGGGCAAGCAGAGCTAAATGTACAGCGGGGAAGCCGCCACTTGTTTTGTATAAGTGATGCCAGCGATGTCCCCGAGATGAGATCACTTGTATGCAGCCCCAGGTCTGCCATTCTCCATGGAGGGGGTTTGGCCTTGGGGCAGCAGAGAGAGTAAATCCGGCCCTGAAGAAGGGGGTGTATTATTTTGTCTGTGTGTGTGTGTTTTATTTTATCTGCGGGGGGAGGGGGAAACGAGGGGGGTGTATTATTTTGTCTGTATGTGTGTGTTTTTTTAACTGCAGGGAGGAGGGGGAAACGAGGGGGGGGTATTATTTTGTCTGTATGTGTGTGTTTTTTTAACTGCAGGGAGGAGGGGGAAACGAGGGGGGGGTATTATTTTGTCTGTATGTGTGTGTTTTTTTAACTGCAGGGAGGAGGGGGAAACGAGGGGGGGGTATTATTTTGTCTGTATGTGTGTGTTTTTTTAACTGCAGGGAGGAGGGGGAAACGAGGGGGGGGTATTATTTTGTCTGTATGTGTGTGTTTTTTTAACTGCAGGGAGGAGGGGGAAACGAGGGGGGGGTATTATTTTGTCTGTATGTGTGTGTTTTTTTAACTGCAGGGAGGAGGGGGAAACGAGGGGGGGGTATTATTTTGTCTGTATGTGTGTGTTTTTTTAACTGCAGGGAGGAGGGGGAAACGAGGGGGGGGTATTATTTTGTCTGTATGTGTGTGTTTTTTTAACTGCAGGGAGGAGGGGGAAACGAGGGGGGGGTATTATTTTGTCTGTATGTGTGTGTTTTTTTAACTGCAGGGAGGAGGGGGAAACGAGGGGGGGGTATTATTTTGTCTGTATGTGTGTGTTTTATTTAATCTGCGGGGGGCGAGGGGAGTGTATTATTCTGTGTGTGTTTATTTTACTTTATCTGTGGGGGATGGGGGGAAGAGGACTACAGATCCCAGCAATACATTGTAAAGCACTGCAGAATAATACTGTCAGCTGTAGAGGACTACAAATCCCAGCAATACTTTATATGCAGAATAATATGAAGCTACATACTCTGTGTTGCTCTGGGATCGTGACCTTATGTCTCCAGGGTCTCAGGGGGGGCTGTGCAGGCTCTCATGAGGCTGTTCAGGCTCTCAGGTGGCCAGTGCAGGCTCTCAGGTGGTCAGTGAGGGCTCCCAAGTGGTCAGTATGGGCTCTCAGGTGGACAGTGCAGGCTCTAGGTGGTCAGTGAGGGCACCAGGTGGTCAGTATGGGCTCTCAGGTGGTCAGGAAGGGCCTCAGGTAGTCAGTATGGGCTCTCAGGGGGACAGTGTGGGCTCCATGGGGTCAGTGCAGGCTCCAGGTGGTCAGTATGGGCTCTCAGGTGGTTGGTGTGGGCTCCAGGCAGTCAGTGCAGGCTCCAGGCGGTCAGTGCGGGCTCCAGGCGGTCAGTGCGGGCTCCAGGCAGTCAGTGCAGGTTCCAGGTAGCCAGTGCGGGCTCCAGGTGGCCAGCGCAGGCTCCAGGTGATTACTGAATGAGACTGGAGGCTGTGGCTCTCTGCTCAGGCATATCAGAGGGCAGCTCGCTTGGGCCTCTCGGGCAGTGGCGACTCTAGGTCCCCGCACACCTACCCCAGAGCCGACATTAACCCCACACAGCTACACCAGAGCCAACATTAACCCTGCAAGCTACCCCAGAGCCGCTATTAACCCCGCACAGCTAACCCAGAGCCGATATTAACCCCGCACAACTACCCCAGAGCCGATATCAACCACGTACAACTACCCCAGAGCCGATATTAACCCTGCACAGCTACCCCAGAGCCGCTATTACCTGAGACCCTGCAGAGCACATGGATCTTGCAGAGCCTACCTGAGACTCTATCGTGGGTGGGCTCTGCAGGGCCCCAGGTGAGCTGGTCGTCAGGGTCCCTTTCCCTGTACCTCCTCCCAACTCTTCTTACCTACTGCTGCTGGGGCATGGCCTCCACCACCCCCTCCCATCATCTCTGCCATGCCGCCCCTGGTACAGCTGATACCCATGTAAGGGGCCCCTCAGGCTGCCCAGGCCCCTCACATGGGTACTGGCCGTACCTCCCTGATGGCAGACATGCCAACTCTCCCAGATGCTCCGGGAGTCCCCTCTAGATAGCGGCTCCCGGGAGAGAAACATTTTCTCCCGGAAAGGTTTACTCTGCTCGATCTAGCTCGCCCCATAGTCCACGGGGTTGTTACGCCACTGCATCGGGCATAGCGGCCGTGCGGGCTGAACACAATCAGGCTGATTGTGTTCGGCCCGACATGCCCTATGGCCAGTCCGGCCCTGGCGGGGGGCACACGGGGGGGGGGCAAGCAATAACCTAGGGGGGCCCCCCCTCACCCCCCTGTAGCGACGCCACTGCTCTCGGGGCATTACTGAGGAGCAAGCAGCCCTCTGATATGCCTGAATAGAGGGCCACGGCTGTCTGCCCGGCTGTGATTCGGGTCGGGTCAGGCCGGCCAGGTGTGATTTGGGTCGTGCCGGCCAGGCGCAATCCGTATCGGGGAGGCTGGCTGCGATTCGGTTGGGGTCGGCTTGGCCGCAATATGGGTCGAGCCAGCGGATTTGGGTTGGTCGGGCCTATTTGCAGGGGTGGGCCTGGAGCAGGAGCTCCAGCGGCCCCTATGTTAATCCAGCCCTGATAATAATATATGCTGTAGATTAGGCACTGTGCCACATGATTGTAACAATGTGTTGTTCAGTGGCATTTTATTTTTTGGGGGTGGGGCATACGAAATTTTGCTATGGGGCCCTGTGATTTCTATTCACGTCCCTGGGCTCAGCCCTGTATATAGTGTGAATTTAACCATAGCTGTTTGACTGTGTCCCAGCTGGGGAAGTTCGCCTTCTCTATTTGTTTTGGTGACTATTGTCACCGAGACAGAAAGTGGTTAGAAATCTAAAATGTTACAGTTGCCATCAGAACATGAGGTAAAGGGAAACACATGTTCTCAGGATAATTATGTAACTAATTTTGCCTCCATTTGAAAAGATTTCTTCTCACTTCCTTTTGTGTTTTTAGGAAAGGACGTAAAGCTGTGTTGAATGTCAAAGATGCTGATGCAGGCTGCAGTGATGAAACAGAAGGGAGGTAGAAAAACCAAGACACTGGAGAAGTGAACATACTACCTCTTCTCTCTGATAGGGTCTCTTTACGGTATCCAAATTAAGCTGCTTTGATGCAATAATAAAAAATTGAAGTGGATTATAGATATGTTGAAAAATCAGTAGAGGAAGTGCATCACACTTTTTTAGGGCACTGCTTAGGCACCAGTTCTAGATGTTTCCCAGAAAGATACAAAATCTTTACTTTTTGAGTCCACTTTAAGTAGAATATTAATTACACCCCCAATCTTTCTGAAATAAGCACATTTTTGTTAGCCTTTGCAATTCCCTGCATATGATCAGATGTTTAAAGTTTACTAGGTTAGGAGGAAAAATAATCCTCCTTTAGTAAATCAGCTCTTTAGTGTTTTTCCTTTGTAAGCAATTGAAACACATCCCAGTTGTTCTTTGTAAATCTTTATTTGAGACTTTTTTGTATATTTTATGGAAAAAATGGTATTGCTTTTGTTACTTTTTTCTACCACATTCTAATAAAAAAAAAAGATATCTTGCTGGTTAGCAGTCTCAGCTTTTTTTCTCTTTGTGATATAGATAATTCTGCACAAATGCACCCGTTGGTTTAACAGTAATAATGTAAGAAAGGAAAAATAGAATTGTCCTTTTCCACCTTTTCTGGACTTCTGGTAACTTTGTGGAGCCATCACATCACCAAGGCAGACTTCTCAACACTCTTATGTAACACAGGATCCTATTTTTTGCTCTTAAATGCTTTATCAAGAACCATCTGTGACTGTTCTACACACAACATAATTCAGTTGCCACAGCAACCTATGGCCCTGGTGGCGTCTAACAGGAGCTCAGGGCTGTAATTT